ACAGAGTAGAAGAAACCGGTAGAAGACAAACCTATGTGCAAGTTGATCCACTTCATAAATCTAGCCCACATTATGTGCTAGATTTGTGGAGAGTAGGGAGGGAATGAAGATAACCTAAACAATAATCTCAGGATTAGAAGATTTCCTGGAAGGAAAGAAACCTCTTATTATCAACATGCAGTTAAGAGCACAAGGGAATAACTTGCCCAGTATTTAGTGGCTGAGCAGAGCTGCAGCAAAGCACTGAGGCAGACAGCTCTAGACACACGATCTACAAAGCAATGGTTCATCACCAGTCGGTCCCCAAGCAAAGGTTACTAATGAACAAGACCTCAGTGATGCATTACTGCAAGAGCTCCCCTGTTTGCAGAGGGGAAAGACTGGAAGGTTTAGAAGACTGCCAGCTAAGATGATTGTGATCTAAACATGAAACAAAGCACAAATGTTGATCACAAATGTGTGATAAAACAACCACAGTCCTCTTCTGCTGCCCCTGGGCAGTGGAGCAGAGGAAGCTAAGCAACATGAGTAGCCTCCTTCAGTGTCTTGGTTCATTCCCAGTTCTCCAGGAGCAGCCGTAACACAGGCCATGGTTACCTCCTTTTCACGCTAGCTTTGAAGTTGAAGAGCCCAGTGAGAGGCAGGACTCATGCCACAGACCCTGAAAAACGGCTCGGCCAAACCAAAAACTATTTTCTTCATTCTTACCACTAGCTGCAACTCCTGGAGCAACATAAATAAAACCGGCTGCTTCATGGTAGCTTTTCCTCCTCACAGTGGTTGAGTAGAAGGGAAATGGGGGAAAAAAGTATGAATACAATTTTATAAGGTATGTATATTTAATGCTTCAAAGATGGGTATGTTTGAAGTCTAAAAGGTGGGTATGTTTAAAGTTTAAGCTGACTATACAATGCAGTATGAAACCTGGACATCTCTATGCTGATCCAGGATTAACCTGCAAGTAGAAACACCAGCTTCCTTCCCTGGCAGTCCACAGGATGCTCATCTGCCATTCCTCCTACACACATCTCTCATGCCTGACTCTTGTTCAGCTTTGGCTTTAATATCCCAGGTTTGATCATTCAGCCACCAGGACCTATTTCTTTCTACTCTCTAAACAGGATCATGGCAGAACGGTGACACTTTCAAAATCCAGTGCACCATGGATGGTATCCACAGTACGTGACACCTTTGACCTGACAGAAAACCTGCACAATTGGTATAGGAAAACCTGTAAGAAAAAAAAAAAATAAATAAAAACCACAATCGTAGGTTATTTTCTTTAAAACGTCTCAGGGTGCTTCTATCCGATTAAATGAGGAGCAAAAAAATCGCTATTCATCAACGCCAGCGGCGGTAGCAGGCTGTGGCAGCGCTGCCCGGCAGCTTCTCTCCCGCTGCCTTTCAGCACCACGGACGCCGGCGGCGCGTCCGCGCCCACGGCCGCGCCCACGCCCCACGGCCGGGGCTGCTGTAAGGCTCCTCGCTCCTCCCCGGGAGGTTGTGGGTGAACTTTTAAAATTATGTTATTAACTTTCTCCTGGGCTTTCCTGACGCCACCGGTGCAGGAATTCCCTTTTTTCCCCCCGGGGTGGGGGAACAAAAAAGGGCAGTGATGAGATTTTCTTTTTGGTTTGGGATACAAAACAAAAAGCTCCATGAGCTCAACCCTTCCAAACGTTTTATAGGTTGATTTTTATTGAAGCTGTGTAAATTGTGTACTTTTTGTTCTCAGAGGGCAATTAAAAAAAAAAAAAAAAAAAAAGAGGAAAATGCATTCTTTTTGTTGAAATGAATTACTGTCAGATCCAAAACATCATCGATGATTCTTGATCTTAAAAAAAGTAATTGACTAGGCCACCCGGAGATAAAGACAGAATTATGTTTCTTCAAATGTTCTGAGGAAACACACTGAAACTCTAAGTCTCCTCTTTAAGCACGGTTTTCCACCAAATTCATCTAAGTTTCTGCACAAACTCTACAACATTTGTACCTAGGATCAACTGTCGTGAAATTCCTACTGGTGGAAAAGACTGCTCAGTTCAAAGGTATAAATTCTGAAATGTCCTTCCAAACTAATAGCAAAAAGGCTATCTGGCAGCTCCCGGCCCTGCAAAGCTTCCATTCAACCTCTCTGGCAAAACCGAAAGGGGTTTACGATGGACAAGTAGGACATTTCCCCCACGAGCACCCATCAGCTTCTGTGAAGGCAGAGTGAACCACTTCCCTTCATCGGCAAGGCGCCCTGGAAATACCAGAAAGCTCCAGAAGCGCTTGCTAACTTCGGCTCCCTCCGCGCGGCCGTCTCCCTGCCTCAGTGTGGGCCACACTTACCCTCAGAGCCGGGTCTCACCGGTTTTACCCCGAGGACCGTCGCAAGTCCTCAAAACCACCACAGGCGCTTCGACCCCCTCTGCGGCTCAAGGCGAGCCGACGCTCGGTTCCGCGCCCGTCACCCGTGCCGCAGCTCCCACGGGAAAAGGGGCCGCGTCTCCAAGCGCCCTCGCCGCTTGGGGGTTACGCTCCCGCGCAGGCGGGGATCAACCGAGGCCCGCCGCTCGCGCCCCGGCCGCGCCGCTTCAGCGCCGTCCCGGCGGGCGGCCGCCCCGCAGCCGCGGCGGGACGCGCGGGGCGGGGAGCGGCGGGGCCCCGGCGGGGCGAGGGTCTCACCTGGAGGGGGCACCGGCCGGGCGCGGCGTGCTCGGGCAGGCGGCCGCGGTAGAGCTGCCGCTCGAAGCGGGGCTCGTTGTCGTTGGCGTCCTCCACGCGGACGCTGAGGCGGCAGGCGGCGGCTCGCGGCGGGCGCCCGCCGTCGCGCGCCACCACGCGCAGCTCCAGCGCCGCCTGCCGCTCCCGGTCCAGGGGCGCGCGGGTGCTGACGGCGCCGCTGCGCGCGTCGATGCGCAGCAGGGCCAGGGCGGCCGGGTCGCCCTCCAGCGCGTACCGCACCTCGGCGTTGGGCGAGCCCGGCTCGTCGGCGTCGGCGGCGCTGAGGCGGAGCACGGCGGTGCCGGGGGAGGCGGCCTCCGAGACGGCGGCGCGGTAGTGCGCCTGCGGGAAAGCGGGCGCCTCGTCGTTGAGGTCGGCGACGCGGAGCAGCAGCGGCTCCTCGGCGGAGAGCGGCGGCGCGCCGCCGTCCGTGGCCACCAGCCGCAGCTCGTAGAGGTCGCGCCTCTCGCGGTCCAGCGGCCCCGCCACGCAGAGGAAGAAGATGCCGGCGCCGGCCGGCCGCAGGGCGAAGGCGCCGTCGCCGCCCAGCAGCGCCAGCGCGACCCCCCCCCCGCCGCCGCCGCCGCCGCCGCCGCCGTCCTCCTCCTCCTCCCCGCCGCCCTCGTCGGCGTCCGAGACCGAGACGCGGGCCACGTAGTCGCCCGGCCGCGCCCCCTCGGAGACCCGCGGGCCGCCGCTCTCGGTGAGGTAGAGCAGGCGGATGGCGGGGCGGTTGTCGTTCACGTCCAGCACGGCCACGGAGACCAGGGCGCTGGAGACCTCCGGCTGGGCGCCGCCGTCCCGCGCCTCCACGACCAGGCGGTGCCGGGCCCGCGCCTCGCGGTCCAGCGGGCGGCGGAGCCGCAGCACGCCGCTGCGCTCCTCCACCGCGAAGTAGCCGTCGGGGTCGCTCTGCCGGCGGTTGATGGCGTAGCGCACCTCCCCGTTGGCGCCCAGGTCGGGGTCGGTGGCCCGGAGGCGGCAGACGGCGGTGCCCGGCGGCGCGTCCTCCCGCAGCCGCGCCCGGTACTCCCCGCGGCTGAAGGCGGGCGCGTTGTCGTTCTCGTCCAACACCCGCACCCGCACCCGCAGCCGGCCGCGGCGCCGCGGGCTGCCGCCGTCCCACGCCTCCACCACCAGCCGGTGCGACTCCGCCCGCTCCCGGTCCAGCCGCCGCAGCAGCACCAGCTCCGGCGCCTCCGGCCGCCCGTAGCGCAGCTGGAAGAACGGCGGCTCCCCCGCCGCGCCGCCCTCCGCCTCCAGCAGCGCGTAGCCCTGCGTGCCGAAGCGGCCGGCGTCGGGGTCGCGGGCGGCCGGGAGGCGGAAGGCGGTGCCGGGCGGGCTGAGCTCGGAGATGTTAAGCTGCAGGCAGTCCCGCGGGAAGCGCGGCGGGTGGTCGTTCACGTCGGTGACCGCGATCTCCACCTGCACCACCTCGCCGCGCAGCGTGGCCGCCGCGAAGCTGTAGCGCGCCCGCCGCTCCCGGTCCAGCCGCCGCGCCGTGCGGATGATGCCCGTCTCCGCCTGGACGTGGAAGTCCGCCAGCAACGCCGACTCGCCGCTCCCCTCCGACAGCAGGAAGCCCCCCGGCGGCCCCGCTCCCGCCGGCAGCCCCGCACGGATGTCCCCCACCAGCGTCTCGGCCGGCAGCCCCTCGCCCACCGCCAAGCTGAGGTTGTACACCGCCGCCGCGCCCCCGCCGCCCCCCGCCGCCGCCGCCGCCGCCGCGCACAGCAGCCACAGCGGCACCGCCAGCGCCAGCGCCCGCCCCGTCGGGGGACCAACGCCTCGCCCGCCCCGGCACCTGCCGCCCCGCCGCCGCCGCCGCCGCGCCATGCTCCGCCGCTAAACCGGCATCGCGGGCGGGCAGCCCGCACCGCGACCCGCCGCCGCTCCCCGCCGCCGCCGCCGCCGGGCAGGTGCCTTCGCCCCGCCGCCGCGGGAGGGAACCCTCCGCTCCGCCGCCGAGTGCCGGGAAGGACGAGCCTGGCCGAGGGGGCGGGGAGGGCGGCTCCGCGCCACCGCCACCGCCCCGCCGCCCGCAGCCCCCGCCCCGCCGGGATCCGCCGAGCCGCCGCCCGCCCGCCCACCCCCACGCCCCCCCGCGTCCCCTCACACGCGCGGACGCGTCGCGCAGGGCTCGGACGGCGGGGCGCCGCTCCAGGGCCGCCCCGAAGCCGCAGGGGTCTTCGCCGGTATTGAATCCTCGGGGCGTCAGCTGGAGCAGCCGCTGGCGGCGGGGGGGGGGGGGGGGCGGGAAGCGGTGACCAGCGCACCGGCTGCCCCTGCGGACGGAGGGGCATGTGTCCTGGAGGAGGAGAATCTAAACGAGACAGCAATCTGCGAGGATGAACGGGTTTGCTCCGGCCAGCAAGGATTTTTTTCTCGCCTTAATGTTCTGGTCCCCCTTTTCCATGAAAAGGCCTGCTCGTTATCCTAGCGTTAGGACGGTAAATAGTGCTCAGCACGGCAGGGAAGCGTTTACCAGAAATAAGCTCTAAGTAGAAACTTCTATCAGTTTCAGTAGGACCAGAATTTCCTTCCTTTTTCACTGTTCCTGACTCCCGTATCTAACTGGGAATGGTCTAAGGATGAATTACTGTTTCTTCAGTGACACTGAGAACATACTGCATCATATAAATGCTAAGCACCAACCACCCATCCTTCAGTGAAAGCTAAGTACAGTACTTCAGCTGTTACCAGTCTCTTGCTGTTCCCACTGGTCCTTTACCAAACTTAATTTCCCCTTTCTGGCAAGAGTCTGGCAGTCGGTCAGAGAAAAGCAAATTCATCCTAGGACAGACAAGTAAAATCGAGGCAAAGACAGTAAAGTAGCAGAAGGAGATACTGAAGCTTGGTCCTCTCTTACAAAAGGGCACTTGGGAGGGCAGATGTTTTGCTATTTGCCACTTTTCCGAGTCGCGGAAGAACTACCCGAGTACTGCTGCCAAAGCTGCTGTAACAGCCCTTGATGTATCCACACTGCGGAGGAACGGGGAAAGAGAAGTATTTTTTCCAACACTGTTAGGACCTAACAATTCCACATATCCAGGTAAGAGGGAGAATTAGGTTCTAAAGAAAGTTTAGAAGTCTTGGTGCACGTGTGTGTCTGCGTGGACGGGAGGGGAGACACACGAGACCGTATCCACTGTATCAGACTTGCCTCCTTATGTAGAGAGACAGGGCTGAGCAAAAGCTAGATTTTGTCAGATCTTCTTGGGCACATTCTGAGAAAGTCTCTGTATATTTATATACTGTGATAATTACAAGCATAGAAACAAGAAGGAAACGCTGAGGCCCTTGCCAGTTTCATTCGTATTCATTGAGAAAACACATGGATCCTCCCCAAGTCACAGATGTTCAATATGAAAATGCCTGAATTCCATTGAATCACAGCAAGTTTGGAAAAACAGCCATGTCCCATGCAGCCCATGCAGTCACTAAGAAAACATGTGAATCATGTTCATTCAGGCACATTCACTGAAAAACTAAACAAAACCTACTGCTGCCAAGGTCAGGCAGTCACTAAAGAGCAAAGTTTTGTATTCGGGTACGGCATGCATGAAGACAGTGGTGAAAAAATTTAGATGGACGTAGTTATCTGTGGTTCTGGCAGTGTTCGTGTATTTTTGTGAGACCAGGGCACTTCAACAGCGTTACAACAAGCAAAGTCATATAAAAGCACTGCCCAACTACAGCATGTTTCCAGAAATACTACATCTTTGGGACACTACAGATTTTCTGTCAACTGTGAGCGTGAGCCTTACCTTGTAAAATGTTCCTCCACCTTCTTTGTCTTTCTGCCTTCTCTGAGCCTTTTCTTCCTTCCTCCACTCCCTTCTTGAGCTTTTTCTCTCCCTCTCTTTTGCCGTGTTCACAACCTCATTCCTTTTCTCCCACAAATCACAAACAGAAGTTTCTAAATCTTGAGGAGATGTTTGCCGTCTCCTGGATATATTTAGCTACCCCTGCTGTGCCCCGTCTTCTCAGTGACATGCTGACCTACAAGAAAAAAGGAAGTGGCATCACATAAGACATGGAGGGAAGCTGCCCCAAGGACAGTATCCCAAAGGAAGCGAGGGTGCTGAGTGTTGGCGCACTAGCTACCTCCTGCATCCTCAACAGGTCACTCTCGTAGGGAAGATGCTTGCCAGCTCCTCAGATGTACCAAGTCTTCTAGTGTAAAAAGAGGACAGGAGCAGAGCCTTGTTGGAAGGCAAGAGATGTCAGTTAGAGCATGCTAAATGCCTGGGCATTCCTGTTTAGAAGGGATCGTCTGTGAGCCAACATGCTCAGTCAGGTAGCAGTAACCATTACTTCTCCAGCTGTCCTCCAGTCCCTTTCCTGGAGGTGGCCACCTCTGACTCCATAGGCAGGTGAACAGCATGTGGATCCACTTCCAAACCGCGGAAGTTTCCAGCCCTGCCTCCTCAGGAAGCCCTGCCGAGGGCATCACTCTGCTCCACCATGCAAGGCAGTGAGCTCTGGTGCTGCCAGCACAGCTCCGTACGCCAGTCCAGCTGTCCTTGTGGCGGGGACCCAACCTCCAGGAAAGGAGCAAGGGAGGAAACTGGAAGGTGATGACTCTATCAGCTGCTCAAATTCAATCGGCCCATATTTGTAAATCAAAATTTGCTGTATCTTAATTCACTTCTGATTAATTGGAAATTCTGTTTCCTTCAAGGAGAATTAAACTGTAACAGACTAAAGCTGTGGTACGATACTAGAGAACAAAAGATCACTGGAACAGAGATAGTGTTGTTACAGCCTCGAAGGTCAATTGTTATTAGAGTTGGTTCGACCTACAAGTGTTGCCTTGCCCGTGCACCAGCTGTGGCAGCTTAAGATGTGACCCTCCCACGTTGAAGATACAGACGGCTGGGGTGGCAAAGCAGCATGACTACTTTGCTTTCTGCAGCTGGCTGGCTTATTGCAAAGCATCTTCAGCACCAGCAGCGGCAGTTTAAGCCAAACCAGCTGACTGGGGACTGAACCAGGGTGGGAGCGCTGCGGAATCCAATCCAGCACTCATCGGATGGGCGGTGGCAGCCAGCTGAGGGCAGAGTGGCTGAACTGCTGCAGACAGAGCTGAAGCAAATAAAATAAAAAATAAATAAATCTTTCCGTGAAGTTATTTCCTGTGCTGTTTGAAGGCAGTATGGTCTCAGCTGCTTGTTACTGCCTTTCAGTCAGCAGGCATTACGCTTCCATTTCTGCCTACGTGGTGGTGTTCCCTGACCCTTGTTGGGTTTACTTTTGAGGACAAAGATTAGTTTAAGCAATGCTGAAACAATGATTTCCATTAACCCCAATGGTTTTTTTCCTACTCTGACTTACAGAGATCCCATATAAATCAGCTCTCTGGCAAAACTGTGGGGTGAGGAAGCACTAATATCTTCAACTATTGCAGCTGGATCTAAGAAAGGATGTGTGTCTACAGCCTTACTGGCTGGGGTCACTATGGGTATTCAGCCTGGAACATGTGATGTATGGAGAAAGCGTTAACTTTGCAGAGCATCAGGTGTTTCATTATTTATAGTTCCCCAGGCACACGTATATTGATTTCAGCAACACCTCTTTGAAGGAGTGTCAGCTGCAGGAAAGATTTGCTGGTCACCAAATGAAGGCTGGTCACAGTTATTACAATAGAAAGCTATGTATAAGACTGGTTTCCTTATATGTAGTTAAGAGTGATTTTTTTTTTTTTTTTTTTTATTGGTAGCCATCCCCTCACTCTTGATCACAAACTAATTTGCAGAATTCATTTTGCTGTGGAACAGATGCTTCACCTTCACTGATGAAGAATCATTGTGGTGCCAGAATCTGATTGGAAATAATGTGCCTGAGTCTGTCTTCAAAGGTAGGAAAGACTTTCATGCTGGTTTGAGAGTTATGAGGCTATGGTATGAATAATAGTAACGGGTTTTTTTTCCTTTCATTCCAGATGTACTGTGATGCCTTAGCTCCATCTACGGAGTGGATGTTGCTGCCGCCTTCTGTGGGCAATTATTTCAGAATTTGTCAGCTCAGATATAACCATCTATGTCGGATTACCCAGATCAATATTTTCACATTAATTTTATTTCTAGTTCACTTATCTCATATGCTATCATCCAGGTGTAATCAACTGTCCCAGTGCTGTGTTTCCATCTTACGGATCTTCATTAGTCTCTTTGCTGTCAATCCGTTCTGTTTCTACTCCACACCTTCCCAACTGCAAACCCAAGTGTCACATCACTCATCAAGATGATTGCCAAAATATACTTGGATCTGCCTGGAAAATCTGAACGTGTTCTTCTACTCACTTTATATTAATCCCACTGTACTCTGCAGGATGAAGACATTTCTCATTATGCATAATGCATAACTGATCCTTTTTTATGAATGGAGTTTCTAGAAAATATGAAATGCAATAAAATATGAAAATAAACATTAACAGAATTAAATGAGATTCTGCTAGATAGATGTTCAGTCAGATCTTGACATCCTAACCATTTACATATAAATATATATATTTAATATATATCAAAATAAATATGTATCAATAATACATCATATTAATAATAATATTAATAAACCTCTATCTTTAATATATAAAAAAATAAATATATATATATCGACAGTTAGTTTATAAACTTAGACACAGATTTTATTACTCTAGAAATGGGATTTATGCAAAAGTAAAAGACCCTATTTTTGATTGCTGTTCACTTCTTCCTGTGGTTTGCAATCTATGTCACGATTAACGTATTATAAAGTTGACTTTAAAACAGAAAGAAGGCTTCTTTCTTTTGCTGTCTGTTATTCCAATAAACTGATGCAGATTTGAGGCAATCCCTTTAAGATGGCAAAGGGTTCACCCTTTTGGGCCAGGAATAAACACACAAGAACTTCCCACTACACGGGTTGCATTTCACATAAAGCTGTCTTTCACCATCTGCTTGCCACCACTGAATCCAGAACTTTGTGGTCTCTCTAAAACTTGGAGGTGAGTTCCAGAAAGTTTGATAAAATATATTCCCAGGTCACATTTAATGCTCTGTTGATATAATACCTCCCTTGGCTACTGTGTTAAATTTTCACATAAAATGTATGACATTATCTGGATTATCAACTTTTCTTACACATTCATAGACCACAACCTGTAATCAGATCCAGTAGTCAAATTCTACGTGTGTAGAAGAACAGAAGAAACAAAGGCACAGGCGTGAGAAACAAAGTGGAACTAAATCCTGTTACCTGATGGGTGTCTCTGAACCTGCAGGTGATAGCAAAAGTACGCAATGACCAAAAGTAGTCACACGAGCTCTAAATCCACAGATAATCTTCATCCAGAAGCAGCCTCTTAACTTGGGAATGCAAATGCAGCATTAGAGAAGTCATTCCAGATCTACAGGATACACTATCCCGGCATTTCCTACACTTCCAAATCCTCTCTCTCACTAAACTTTGAGAAGCAAGATTTGGCTGAGAGCAAGCAAAACAAAACCATTACAACCGTATCTGAAGATACAAGAAGTCATCAAGTAGAGGATTTCTCTGAACTAGCTCTTCCCAGATTTCCCTTCAGGGATGCCAGGTAGCTGATGTTAGCGTTCGGTGACACTGTGCACAGCACCACTGGTGCCAGCAAGCCAAAATACAGTAATTGGAAGTGAAAAGTCTGTTAATAGAGTTCAAACTGCAAGCAAGACACAAATAGCAAGGACGATTGCAACGGCATGCCACGGGTTAGGATGCATTTTCTGTCACACGCAGTCTTTAAATCAAGGTTAGGCAGCTAACAGACATGTTCTATTTCGGCCACAAACGGCGGGGCTTTAGGCAGGAATTACCGACTGAAATGAAGTCAAGCTAAATGATTAGACTGTTCCTTTCTGGCTTTCACATTCATGAAAATCCAGTTTCCCAGGGCAGTTGCCCTCAATGCAGAAAAGCAGCCCACACAGTGTGCTTGAGATCTGGAAACCTACTGCTATCACTTAATCAGCTGAAGTCCCTGCTGAGGACTCAAGCTTGTGGCACTGAGAGGAGAGAGGGTCGACACATAAAGCTGTATCTTAATATGCTAAGCTACTATGCCAGCTGATTCCCTTGCTGGTTTGAGCTAAGTAATTATTTAAAATAGCTGTAAATCAGAAAAGGCCTTTGCTTTTAAAAGTAAAGTATACTGTAATCCATGTGTGAATTAAGGCCCCTGGCCATTTTGTCTCTCTCACAGGCACACAAACACTAAAAGCAATTAATTCACCAGCAGTTTTTGAGCCTTTGCACTCCTTTTCCAGATGATAATTTCATAATGAGTTTGGATGCCTGAGTCTTGGCTGCTGTGCTCCAGCTGACACTACCACAATTACGATCCTAAAAGGTTCGCCTGTTTTCTTAAAGAGCCTATTAAGACAAGGCTATAAATACACAAGAACAAAGCAATACTCCTTGTCCAAGTATGCAAGTGCCCTGACCTGCTGATTTTCAGGACGCACAGTATTATGCAGTACTACTCATTTCTTTGGGGATGGGACAGCTGGAGGTGCGGCTGGATGGGGTGAAACCCCCCAGAAGCCATAAGGGAGCGGATGTTTGCGTTACCTCCTGTAGCAGGTTTGTTTTTGTTGGCAGCTGGCAGTAAACTGCTGCTGGTTAATTCTGCTCATTTTGTTGCAGTCAGTGGTAGTGAAGTACCTAGCAGATTTTGTGTAGGCACCCATTTTTACTATGTGTGAAAACACGTTTGTGCAAATCCTAATTAATGGATCCTATTTGCTTGAAAATAAGCCAAACTGAGTGTTAGAGACAGAAGTCGATTGCCTATTTTCATTTAGGACATACAAACTCTGTCTGGAATCAGTTTTGCCAGCTTCCTCCAGCCACTCCACGTCTAAAGGAGGAAATCTTATTTTTACGATGCTCTCACCAAATTATCCAAGGTCCTCATCCTTTTTTTACAGAGTTTATCTTCACAGAATCTTTATGGGGCTGAGAAGGTTCATTATCACCATTCCACAGAAGACCACACGCAGATGTTAAATTACGTGTCCATAGGGCACATTTGCCTCTTCCAGCGGATTGAGAGGCCTTAGGTAACGCTGACCCTGCTCTTCAGTTGGACAAGCCATAGCAGCACCCTCAGGGGCCCCAGCCTGAAATAACAGACCCAAGGGGTGGGTTATATGCTGGATAAGCCCCAATTTTCTCACTGTCAGAGTTTCTAGGACCAAACTAGTGTCTTTGCACAATGAATGCATTGGGGTGAAAAGCTCCGTCCTGCACACAAGCTGGGTGTGCCCACAGTCACACAGGGAGTCTGCAATGCAGCCTACACCTCCTCCATCCCAAGGCAGTGCCTTCGGGCTTGTTCTTTTCCCAGCCTGTTCTAGCTGTATTTGACCACTGATCTTTTTTTTTTTTTTTCCTGGTGCATTCAAGAACAAAATAACGCAGGCTTTTACCAATTTCGGCTATGTATCTTCTGCTCTGATAGCTGGAACCTTAAGTATGAGATGCGTGAGATCCCAGCATCACAGCAGTGGCTTTAAAGTTTCAAACATGGAGATTGCACTGTTACCCAAAGCAGATTGTTCCCCAACATTGAATTGTCAGAATAGAAATCTCTTTTAAAATGTCTTTTAATCACTCCTAGTCATATTTCTGAGTATTCACCTCTTTGACCGTGTTGCCTTTAACTGTCTGTGGGTTGTAACGCTTTCATGTATCATTCAGCAGTACATACAGAAATCAGTGTGTTTCAGAATGAACTCAGTCAAAAAGGATAGGAAGGAGAAGCCTTTCAAGCCTTTAAGTAAGGCTTAAGATATATATTCTGTAATATATTTAGAGGAAAAAGGAAGACTGCTAGGCATCTGTAAAAGGAAAGCAGTACTTCTACACCCATGTACATACATGCCCTAGAATGTGGCTACAGGAACAAGAAAATGTCATAGGAAGGGCTAAACTCATACAGCTAATTTTAGGCAAGAACCGTCTGTAGGGTTAGCTCGCTATTTCAACTGCACTTGCCACGTGTTCATGTCTGACTTGACCACATTGCTCCTGAATTCCTGCATCAAGAGCTTTACGGCTGCTTCTTTCAAAATAACATGAAATGCATCCCTTTGCTGAACTGTGCCCAACAATGCCGTTGGGCAAATGAAACCAGATTCCTAAACTCACTCGTCAGAGTAGGTGTCTGAGGGCCAGCACAGCCGGGGATGGCCCCTCCCAACGCCTCGGTCATACTCTAAAACTGGGTGCCAGCACTGTGGGGATTAGAAGAGTGCATCCATTTTAAAATACATTTTTCCTAACAAGAATTACTAGCCTTTTTTAGTACACCAAGGAAAAGAATTGCCGCTATGCTTTTCAGACTTTGCCAATAAGAAAGATATGACACTCTTAAAGGAACTGTAAAGTGTTTTGGTGTAGAAATGGATGAGCGATGGATTACACTCTGCTGGAAGCAGACCTCGGGCGCAGGGAGATGTGACTACCTGGGAGGGGAGGAACGTGGTTATACCAGCAATCCTAGTGTTGCCCACATGTAGCAGCAACAAACTGGCACTGAGGAGGGCGTAAAATACCCTAGTGAATTCGTACGTCATCCTTCTGTGCAGCACAGTACTTCCTTGACTGAAAATTCAGAGTACAGCAAAACTGGGCATTCTGCTGGCTTTGGGCTGTGCCCAGGGCATCGCTTTCCCTTCACATGAACCAGAGAAAGACCGTTTCTGCAGCTAGCCTCCGGGCTGGTCCCTAGGAGGGGACCTCCCTCAGGGATGCCACAGCCACCCCGGGGCCCCCACTCTGCACGGGAGGAGCTGCTGCTGGGACGACACACGCGGGCTCCCCCGCTGCCGCCCAGGGCCAGGGACACCGCGCTGAGCACCCTGCCCGCCTCGCACGGGGCCTCGCTCTGCCTCTCGGCTTCCCGGCCCTGCCCCTGCCCACCACATCGCCACATCTGCCCACCGCGCCTCAAATGAAAACGAGCAAGACTCTCAGACCACCACACAGACCCAAAGAGTTCCACAGGGCAAAATGACATTGCACCCCCCAAGTAAAATCTGGATGTTTTATCTCTCACTCCATCTTCAGTTTGTTGCTGCATGGTGGGGAGGGAGGGAAGGGGAGGAGAGCATCGGGCAGCGTGACTCGCTAGGGGCTGTAGGTATTTTTCTAGGTCTGGGAGCAGTTCGTAACTTCCTTACTGATGCTGAAGAAAACAACACGCATGAAAGTGCTCCTGCGAGGCTCAATATAGGGTCTCTCTCAGGCTCAAATCTCAG